CCATAAATATTCTGAGGCCAGAGAGATGGAATTCCCATAATGAAAGCTTAAGAAGGTTCCCCTTAACAATATCCGAGCCTTACCCGCTCCTAGGGGGTTCCCCTTCTTGTTCTCCCCTACTCACCCGTGCTGACCCTGCTCGCTGCGCCACTTGTTGGGGTCCGTGCCGGGGGTGGTGGAGAATGAAAGAACACACAAAAGACAAAGACACACAGAGAACATGGCAGCCGCGCTCAGCGCCTCCGCCTCACTTTATTTATACTCCATAAACCCCACGTCAGCAGAAAGAAAGCAATGCAAAACAAACTTTCTTTTCCCAGATGTAACCTTCTACTCAGTTCTTTGTTTCTATGCTCTTCTTTATCTGCCCGCCTTCTTGGCGCCTACGGGAGTTCATTAAAAGTTCAATTGGAGATACTGTCCTTGAGCCCTATCTATTCTCAGCATACTGTTTTCAAAGGCCCCTGCAGGTGTTCACGCATGTTTCAGTGATTAATGTGGTTCAATATGGCTGTCCCAATATAATGCGGTTTCCAAAGGGAACTGGACGAGAGGACCCAGGGTCTCCTGCATTGTACAACAGGACTCGGGTGTCTATGGGCATCACTGACTGCCCTGCCGAGGCCCTCTGTGCTGAAGGCGTCACTGCAGATGGAAGGATTCCTTGAGGAACTCTACTACTGGCAAAGGTGAACGGGTCTGGGCACGGGATCAGTGCAGTCCAGGAGTGACTCTAAAGGTGCTGGCGTGTGGGCACTACGTGCGGAGCTCAGCCCCAAGTCCTCTTCATGCATTAGCCCATTTAATCCCCACAGCATCTTTCTAAGGTTCACATTCACTTGCTTCATTTTATGGGCGAGGAAAGGAAGCCTGGAGAAATTCAGGAACTTAACGAAGATCACACAAGAATTAAATGACAGGGCCAAGATTCAAACGTGGGCTATTCATACTATGTATATAATTGTATGTCTAGCCCAATTTTGTTGACCAGTCATCCGTTGATGGACACACGTTGCCTTCACCTCTTGGCTTTTGTGAATGATGCTGTTACAAACATGGGTGTTCACATGTCTCTTTTGAGTTCCTGCTTTTGGTTATTTGGGGGATATACCCAGAAGTGGATTTGCTGGATCATATAGTAATTCTATGTTGAGGTTTTTGAGGAACAGCCACGCTGTTTTCACACAGTTCCAGTTTACCCACAATCTAGCCAACAGTTGTTATTTTTCAGATTTTTTTTTTTTTTAAATCATAGCCATCCTAATGAGTGTGAGGTGGCAGACTCACATTTTGAAGAGATCCCTCAGTCTACAGGGCAGAGAACAGAGAGCCTCTGAGAAGGATCTGCAACTTTGAATACTAGAGCTCTGAGCAGGAACGTTCCCAAGGGCTGCTTCTGGTCTCCTGAAGACCAGAGCTAACCACTGGGAATGGACTGTGGTGAGTGAACGGTGCCGGCACTGTGCCTCGAAGTGCCTCCCTACTTTGCCGATTAGTCTAAAAACACATCAGCCTTTGGATATGACTGGGGTCCCTCCAGGCAGGGCGTGGAGCACAGGGCCCTCCTTTATGGGCCGGACTCAATAGTGAAACTGCTTACCTGTGACTCACCTCCCAGGCTCAAGCTGATGCTAAGGTGCTGATTTGCTGGAACTCTGAGCTGTACCTGTGTCTCCTTGGATTCTGGGAGATTTTTTTCTTTTAGCAGTGTTTTATGGAAATATTGTCTAGGTAGAGTAAAATGTACAGATCCTGGTTTTCTGTTTGAGTTTTTGTTTTGTTTTAAGACAGGGTCCTGCTCTGTCACCCAAGCTGGAGTGCAGCAGCACGATCATAGCTCACTGTGGCCTCAACCACCCAGGCTCAAGCAGTCCTCCTGCCTCAGCCGTCCTGTAGCCAGGACTATAGGCGTGCACCATAATGCCCCACTAACTTTTTTGATTTTTAGTAGAGACAAGGTCTCGCCATGCTGCCCAGGCTGGTCTCGAACCCCTGGGCTCAAGCAATCCTCCTGCCTCAGCCTCCCAATGTGCTGAATTACAAGTGTCAGCCACTGCACCAGCCTCAGCCTGTTGTTAATGGATGTAAATACCTGTGCAATCACCACCTAGAACCAGATCCAGAACACTTCCAGCCTCTCGAAGACTCCTTCGTGCCCCTCCCAGTCAGAGACCCCCAAGGGTGACGCCATTCTGGCCTGTTGTTCAACTTGACTCTCACAGCATGGCATTCTCACAGCGTGTGTCTGTTTGGATCTGGCTGCTTCTGCTCAGTTGTGAGGCCCATTGATGTTTCCTGTGGCCTAGCTCCTTTTTATTACTGAGGGCTACTCTGTTGTATGAAAACCACAATTCATTTCTCCCTTCTCCTTTGGTGAACTTTTGCATTGTTTCCAGCCTGGATCATTCCTAACAGCATGAGTAAAGCAGTTAAAAACAGGCAAATATGTTTTTCTTTCTCTTGGGTAATTTTTCAGAACTAGAAAATCCAGAACATAGAAGTAGATATTTGACTGTATTACTACTCACCAAGCAGTTTTTCTTTTTCTTTTTTCTTTTTTAATTTTTTGAGACAGAGTCTTACCTAGGCTAGAGTGCAGTGCCATGATGAGGGTTCACTGCAGCTTTGACCTCCCAGGGTCAAGCGAGCCTCCCACCTCAGCCTCCCATGTAGCCGGGACCACAAGTGTGCACCACCACACCTGGCTACTTTGTTTATTAAATTATATGTAGGGACAGGGTCTTCCTACCTTGCCCGGGCTGATCTCAAGCTCCTGGGCTGAAGTGATCCTCCTGCCTCAGCCTCTCGAAGTGCTGGGATTACAGGCGTGAGCCACCACGCCCTGCCCATTTTTCTAAGTTGGATTATTTTACACTCCAGTCTGCTGTGAATGACAGTTCCAATTGTTCCATATCCCAAGCAATTGGTGATTGCCTACAAATGATGTGGCATGATGACATTGTTCCTGGTGTCCATGGTGTCCGAGAGGATTGCAAAGAATTTCCCTTCCTTTCTCTCCTTTCTGCTCCTCTGTACTGTCTACTCCTTAAACTGGTCAAATTCTACTTGATCCAGGAACATAATGGTGATGGAGAGTGCAGATAACACACATGGCCTCAGTCTATGGGAGCATCTCAAAGGAATTCGTCTGCAAATTCTAGTGCATCTAGGCAGAGCACAGGAAGGAAGAGAGGTGCAGACTCACGTATGGCCCTGGGGTACCTGCCATCCCCTTGAGCCTGTACAGCTCTTACCCGCCCAGCCCCAGCTTGAGTTCTGGGCCTTCTCGCCAGCACATCACTGGGACCTGGTCAACTTCAGGTCAGTTTATTTCATGGCTCCCTCCCCCCTCTGCAGCCTATCCTGTTATTCTCTGTTTCGGCCAATTATTTCCCCTAACTAGGTGCTGAAGTCAAACAAAGGCAGTTCATGCCATATGTCCCTTTCCAGCCCCGTGTCACTTGAAATGTTCTATTATGTCCAAGACTTCTCTCCCCATCCTAAAGCGCAGAAAATAAAGATAGAGAAGAGCAGGAGAAGAAAGAGAGATTCACTGAGAGGGAGGATCAGAAGCTCCTGGGCACCCCATACTCTAGAATAAAAATCTTCATTATGGTGTTTTTCTTGGAAAATATTCCCCTCTACGTAATTATGTTTTTACATGAATAATATAAATGTAAAGAGGAGAAACACTTTTTGAAGAGTCTGAGAATCTTCATATAGCTCAGGCTACCACGAATTAGCTGTGCAACCTGGGGCATGCCCTTTAGACGCTGAGCCTCAGCTTCTCTATATGTAAAATGGGTTGAAGCCGCCCTTCCCCACCAGCACCCCGGGGACAGGCAACGCCCAGCCCCATTATTTTCTGGACTCCGTGGCCAAGCGTGCTCAGGACACACAGCCACATACTTCTGGGCAGTGTCATCTGGCAACTCGCTGTCATGTCAGTGTGGTCAAGCATTGTAGACCTCTATGAACCAAATATGCTTCAGGCTTGGGTTGAGCACAGGAGAGGGAGGAGGGAAAGGTCACTGGGACTGGGAGTGCCCACTTCCCTCTGTAAGCGTCACTGCAGTTCACCCAGCACCCTACCTTTCTCTCTCTGGACCCACTTCCTCTTGCTGCTGGCTCCTCCCCATTGAGTAACAGCCAAGTTGCTTTGGTTTCTATTTCTTTGTTAAGTCATTTCCTCTGCAAAGGACTTCCTGGCAGGTGTGAAAGGCAGCGGTGGCCACAGAGGCGGTGGAGAGATGGCCTTCAGCGGTTCCCAGGCTCCCTACCTGAGCCCAGTGAGTTCCGGGGCCGTGGGCACAGGGCTGCCTCAGCCAGGGGGACACAGCCCTGGGGCTCTGAGGAAGCAACTCCTGGGTGGCAGGGGATAGGGGTGGGGGCAGGCCAAAGAGAACACAAGCATGGCAGAAATGTCAGTGGAGGTCATCCTGGCACACCTGTGCCACGCTGAGCTTGCTCATGCCTGGAGGGATGTTCGTCCCCACAAGTCATGGGGTTGACCTGTTGACTGAGCTGTCCCGTCCTGTCCTGTGTGCTCAGGGGGAGAGGTGTAGAGTGGGATGGTTCATGTAAAGGGGAAGCAAGCACGCTTCTGGGACAGTAAGGAGACTACCCGGCATGGTAGTTAAGGGTGCTTACTGTGAAGATGGCCTCCCTGGGTCCAACCATTTACTAGCTAGTGGTCTCTGGGCCTCAGTTTCCATATCTGTAAAGTGGGAATAATACTTGAGCCCCCCATTCCCAGGGTTGGGCTATGGATTAAGGAGGTAGTGTATCTAGTGTGTTTGAACAGTGCCTGACACACTTTGGGAGTGTTTCGTGTTATTGGGAGTCCGGGGGCAGCAGGGAAGGCCTCCTGAGGAGGTGTCTGTGCTCTGAAGGGTGAGGCAGAGTTAACCAGGCATGGGCATGTCAGGGCATCTGCAGAGGGGCAGTCTCAGAGGTGAGAGGGGGCGAGGACTGTCCCTGCAGTGTGGGGTCAGAGGGCTGCAGGTGCCTTGCTGAAACCCTGTGAGATTTATGAGTCCCCTTCATACAGAGAAAATTTCAGGCTCAGGGAGGTGTAGGCCAGTTGCCAAATGTCCCCAGATGGGAGTGGCAGCGCCAAGAGCCCAGGAACCTTCAGGGGTCACTGTGTCCTGGGCCGGGTCCTGTCATTGGATCTCACCCCGCCTTGGCAAAGAGCTTCCCGAGGGGCTGGAGAGGGTGGGCTGATGGGCCCTTCCTGGGTGGGCAGAGGCAGGGTGCTGAGGGCAGGGAAGCTGCCAGAGCCCACCTCAGCAGAGGTCAGGGTCGAGCTTGGGTGCCCTCTGGTGACACTGAGTCCAGAATGAGGCTGCCTAGGTTCTGGTCTGCAGAGCTCAGCTCTGCTTTCTGAACTCCAGAGGAAGAGTGGAGAAAGGAGGCCTGTTTCCTCCTGGCTGTCACCAATGACCCCTCAGCCACCCTGTGGAGGCTCCTGAGGTAGGACCTGCACAGATGGGCACTGGGGGAAGCTGGAACAGGCCGCAGGTTGGGGGTCTTAGGGTCAGCAGGTGCTGCTTTGGGCATGTCACCCTGTCTCTGGTTTTCTGTCTGAGAGGGAATCCCAAAGCTTCTTCCAGGTTCTGAAATATTATTCTAGTGACTGATTTTTACTTTCTAATCTTTGGATTCAGAAGGAAAATTCTCCTGTGGACATCAGAGAGTTAAAACAGGGCCTTGGAGCCCAGACAAGAAAGACGGTCAGTGCAGCCCCCGTGGGTGTCCAGAGCACCCCTCTACCCCACGGGGTTCCCCTGGGGTGGGACACTTAAGCCTCACTCGGTGACCCCTCTGGCAATCGGAGTCACACTTCCTCCACGTGCCGACAGTGGGGGAAGGTCACGGGGTTCGCTGTCCTGCTGAGGAGGGCTGAGTGCCAAGAGGGCCTGGCTTGGAAACGTCACTCCCTCTTCTTGTCCGGCCTTATCTAGCTCAGCCTCTTTGGAGGGCCGTGGGGAAGCTAGAACCACCTGCTGTGTGACCCAGGAAGCACTGGGAGAGCCAGGAATAAGGACGTTCCCAGCTTCCTCATGAGAGGAAGCCTGTGTGCTGGTTAGAAGTGTGGGTGCTGGGGTTCAAATCCCAGCTCTGTTGCTGACCAGCTGTGTAGCTTTGGGCAAGTGACTGAACTTTTCTGTGCCTCAGTTTTCTCATCTGTAAAAGTGGCCGGGGTTGCTGTGAGGATAAATGTTCCTGGTCATGCCCAGAGCCCTCACGGACACACGTGGATCCAAATGCCACAGTAGCCTTAGTTGATCAACCTCAAAACAACACATTTGTTCTTACAGTGTTGGAGGTCAGAAGGCTAAAATCAAAGTGTCGTGGAAGGTGGCCAGCAGGACGGTGGAGGCTCTGAGGGAGTGGGGCACCTTCACTAACAGCCACGTACTGGCTCCTGCTGGTGGGCAGTCTTGGTCAGCCAGGCTGAGCTCCCCACTGTCGGGGCCAAGCCTGACAGTGGACCGGGGGTGTCCTCTGGTGACGCTGAGTCCAGAACGAGGCTGCCCACATTCTGGTCCGCAGGGCTCAGCTCTGCTTTCTAGACTTCCAGATAAGAAGAGGAGGAAAAGTCCCTGGTCTCTGGGCACAACCAGGAACAGAGAGCAAGTTCTGACTCAGCAGAGGGATCGATTCGTTCCATGCAAAGAGCTGCACTGTTAAAGGCTGGCACGAGCCGGGGCTCAGCACACGGCATCGCACCCAGTCCTCTCAGAACCCTGCCGGGTGGTGTTACTGTCCTACCATTCAGAGGAGGGAAGTGGGGCACAGGCAGGTCAAGCGACTTGGCCAATATCAGAATTGCTAGTGTACATGAGTCCAGGCCCGTGGGACCATAAATCCAGTGTAAAAATCCATCCCCCTGCACCCTATGGAACAAAAGTAGGTCCAGTTGTTTTCCTGGGTTTCCTGGACACACAGATCTAAATTCCACAGCAGCCTTGGCTGGCCAATCTTAAAACAACAAATTTATACTCTTAATGATTCTGAAGGTCAGATGTTAAAATCAGCGTGTCAGCAAGGTTGTTTCCTTCCGGAGGCTCCAGGGGAAAGTCTGTTTCTTTTCCTTTTCCAGCTTCTAGGGGCTGCCTGCATGCCTTGGCTTATGACCCCTCCTGCCATCTTTAAAATCAGCAGCTTTGACTGGGCCCAGTGGCTCATATCTGTAATCCCAGAATTTTGAGAAGCCGAGGCAGGAGGATCCCTTTAATCCAGGAGTTCCAGACCAGCCTGGGCCACAAAGTGAGACCACGTCTCTACAAAAGATAGACAAAAATTAGCCCAGTATGGTGGTGCATGCCTGTAGTCCCAGCTACCTGGGAGACTGAGGTGGGGGGGTCACGTAAGCCAGGAGAAGTGGAGGCTGCAGTGAGCTGAGATCGTGCCAACACATTCCAGCCTGGCTGACGGAATGAGATCCTGTCTCAAAAAAAAAAAACAAAACAACGAAAGAAACAAACAAACAAATACACAAACCAAAAAAAAATACAAACCAGCTTCTTCTTGCATCTGTGCTCCTGTTGTCACATCTCCTACCTCTGACACTGATCCTCCTGCCTTCCTTTTATACGACCCTTGTGATCACATTGGGACCACCTTTAAAATCAGGACAATCTCCCCATGCCAAAATTATTAATTTAATCACATCTGTGAAGTCCCTTCTACAACATATTCACAGTTGCTGGGGATTTGAATGTGGATGATTCTGGGGGGTGGCCCACTGATACCCAGTGTTATAAGTTTCTTATAAATCCTTCCAGAGATATTTTATCTATAAATAAATAAATAAATAGATAAATAAATAAATAAATGCAAGTCCATAGCCTTCCCCCATTCACTTTTATACAAATGGCATCATTCCATATCGGTGCTCAGAGTTCCGTCTTCCTCTTTTTCTTTTCTTTTTAAGGCTACACAGAACCTATTATATGGAAATACCCTAATTTATTTCACCTTTTTCCTGTCAGAGGACCTTTAAGCTCTTTCCAGTGTTTGCTTTATAATCCTTTGTGTTATAAGGCTGCAATGAATAACCTTGTTTGTAGGATGATATTCAATTTAAAAACTCACTTTTCAGGCCAGGCATGGTGGTTCATGCCTGAAATCCCAGCCCTTCGGGAGGCCAAGCCAGAAAGATCACTTGAGCTAGCCTGGGCAATACATAGAGACCCCATCTTTACAAAACGTTTTAAGATTAGTGGGGCATGGTGGCATGTACCTATTTGGTCCCAGCTATTCAGGAGGTTGAAGCGGGAGGATTACTTGAGGCAGGGGGTGGAGGCTGCAGTGAACCATGATCACACCCCTCACTGCACTGCAGCCTGGTCAACAGAATGAGAACCCATCTCTAAAAAAATAAATGAATAAATAATCTCGTTTTTCAGAATTGTGGGGACACTATTAAGATATTTTGAAACCTCACAGAGCTTTTTTGGGGAACTTCTTGCCTTGGAGATTAGCCTGCCCTGTCCCACCCCATGATCTGTACTTGCTCTTTCTGCCTCCTGGCTTCCTTGTGTGTACTTGCGAGCCCACGTCCATCACGCTCTGCCTTCAATTCTAGACGCTGTGGTGTGAATACGCTTGAGTGGAGGCCGCATGCTTCCCAGGAGGGTGTGTATTTCCAGCGTTGTATCTCATGATAGTGTGAAAGGCTCTGGGGAGAATCACAGGCCTCCACAAACAGACAAGGGGAAAAATGTTCCACAGACATGTTTCAGGGACAACAGACTTCCCAATCCTAGGTCATGCTGGTCCATACCTGGATCAGGCTGACTCTCCTTCCCCCACACTGCGGGTGTAGACAGGGACAAGAAAGAGAAGTCAGAGACACAGAGAAGCTGTGATTTGCTTGAGGTCACTAAAGTACTTAATGGCAGAGTTCAGACCTGACCTGAGGGGCAACAAAAGACACCCCCCTCAAATCCATGGGGAGCAGAGTCTGTCTGAATCAGATCCCAGATTTCCTGGGGCTTTCACGGAGCCAGGTGTGTACACTGAGCTAGGACGGGTTTCCCAGGGTTCTGTGTGGTCACACAGCTCAACAATACAGACCAGAAAGCAGTGGGCAGTAGGCTGAATTTGGCTGGTGGGTGTTTTCTGTTTGGCCTTCACAGTGTTTCTTCTAACTTGTTATTATAGGAAATTCAAACATGCAGAGGGAATTGTACCATCAACAACACACACCCATCACTCTGCTCCAACAACGATCAACTCAGGCCTATCTTGCTTCATCCTATACCCTCCCTCGCTTGCTTCCCTTCCCACCTTCAGATATGTGGAAGCGAATCCAGAGATACCATTCCATTGCAAATATTTCACTGTGTATCTCTATAATATGGGAATTTGGGGGATTTTGAGACAGGATCTTGTTTTGTTGCCCAGGCTGGAGTGCAGTGGCGTGATCATGGCTCACTGCAGCCTCCACCTCCCAGGCTCAAGGGATGCTCCTACCTCAGCCTCCCAAGTAACTAGGGTTAAAGGTGTGCACCACCACACCTGGCTAATTTTTTAAATTTTTTGTAGAGATGGGGGTCCCATTATGTTTCCTGGGCCGGCCTCAAACTCCTGGGCTCAAGTGATCCTTCTGCCTCAGCCTCCCAAAGTGCTGGGATTATAGATATGAGCCACTGTGCCCAGCCAAGAACTTTTACATAATCCTTTTTGACAATTTTTTTT